CACACACACACACACACACACACACACACACACACACACACAATTACCTGAAAATATTATTTCATTTTTGGCTGTTTCTATTGCTTGCACATTACAAATACTTCTGATGCCACTGAAATAAATTGATGAAAGACAATTTTATGTCATTCCATGAGTAGAGATACAGAACATATTAGAACTGGACTGTTGTGGAATTTCAAACAGTTTCTATTCTTGTTTCTGGTCTCTGGACGTCACATAATCATGTGAACATCTGTGGAAAGTCCTAACTCTTGTGTTGCTGTTTAACAGCAGCATGATAGAATTTCTGTTACAGTGTTATGATTTGTGTCTGTGTTTTTTTTTATTCTAGCTTTCTGTCTTGTCATCTGTTTTTCTCCCCCTGCCTGTCTTTGCTCCAGCCCCGCCCACTCACACCTGATCATGTTTCTCCCCCAGGTGTTTCCTGTTTGTACTCATTAGTTTCTCCTTTATATTCTGTTCTCTGTCTTCAGTCTTTGTCAGATCTTTGTTCTCTGTTGTGTTGTCTCATGCCCAGTCCTAGTACAGCATGTATTATTGCTGCCACGTCAGCGCTTTGTTTTTTGTTAATAAAACCTTTTTTTTCACCTTTTACCACCCTCATTCAATCCTGCATCTGGGGTTCAAACCAACCAAGCTCAAGTCAGTCATAGCATACAGATTTTAGTTCACCCCTGGTTTTTCAATGGCCACCCTCTAAAATAAATTTCTGCAGGTGCCACTGCTGAGAAGTCTGATACCACTGAGTTCCTTTCTGGATCTGACACTTAGTAAAACTCAGGTTGGTATAGGCCATACCGATCCAGCACTGCTTTGTGCAAACATACCTTAATGTGTGATAAATAAAAAAATTAAGTACTACATTTCAAACCACTTCTTCACAAGACATCAGAATTTTATTAATTTTAAATTCAGAGGTATGTTGATGTCGTGTCCCAATATTTCTGAGCTGAACCAGAGGACACAGTCATACAAAATAAATAAAAATTGAGCTTTAAACTATAAAAAGATTTGGTAATAATAAAACCATTAGAACAAACTATTGTTTAATTATCAAGAACTACTATATAATAAAACCTTATATCTTGATTTATATTACATGAGCATATGAACATGAGGCCACTGAACAACATGTAAAGACTGACTGACTGAGCATTTGCTAATGCAAAACGCAGGCGGAACAAAAAGTAGTTCCAACCAACAGGGTTTGGTTTAGACAAGATTTTAATAGTTTTAGTTTTTTTCACTGTGTTCTTGTTAAACATATATTTAAATGACTGAAGTATTAAGGTGTCAATATTTTAATTTTAGTATAAATACTAGAGCATGAATTTCTGGTAACCATATTTCAGCATTGATCACTTCTTCGAAGCATCATTCTTCAGCTGATCATCAGCTGAACTCTCCTGCCTCAGCTCTTCAATCAGCTGTTCTGTCTCCCTATAGTAAAGTTTTATTCTGTCTCAAACCCTCTGTTGTTTATTTTTCCAGGAACGATGCTGATAAACAACAGCGAGGTGAGGATAGTGATGGTGGGGAAGACCGGCACTGGAAAAAGTGCCAGTGGAAACACCATTCTGGGTCGAGACTGCTTTAAATCCAGGTGCAGTCCCAGGTCCTTAACTGAGGAGTGTGCCAAAGAATGGACAGAGGTGGAGGGGCAGAAGGTGGCCGTCATCGACACTCCAGGTCTGCTGGACACCAGGTTTGATGAGGAGAAAACAACCAAAGATCTGAGTCAGTGCATCTCCTTCGCTTCTCCTGGACCCCACATCTTCCTGGTGGTCATCTCACTGACCAGATACACCGAGGAGGAGAAGCAGACGGTGCAACGGGTCCAGGAAGTGTTTGGAGCTACAGCAGACAGATACAGCATGGTCCTCTTTACTCATGGAGATGATCTGGAAGACTCAACGATTGAAGAGTTCCTGTCTGACAGTCCAGATCTGCAGGAGCTCGTGGCCAGATGCAATGGTCAGTACCATGTCTTCAACAATAAGGTGAAAGGTGAAAACTCTCAGGTCCTCCAGCTCCTGCAGAAGATCAGAGACATCATCCAGAAGAACGGAGGAAGCCACTACACCAACGAGATGTTCCAGGAGGCTGAGAGGAAAATCGAAGAGGAGAAACAACGAATCCTGAAGGAGCAGGAGGAGAAAATCCGCAGAGAGAGAGAAGAAGTAGAGAGACAGATGCAGGAAGCTCATGAAAGGGAACTGCAGAGGATTTATGAGCAGAATGAGAGGGAGAGGAGGGAGAGAGAGGAGGAGAAGAGGCGCGAGATGGAAGAGAGGAGGCGGGAGACGGAGGAGATGATGAGGAGGGAGCAGGAGAGAATAGCAGAAGAACAAAGAAGAGAGCGAGAGGAGAGAGAGAGGGAGATAAGGAACACGATGAATCAGTTACAGGAGCAGAGAGAAAGAGAGCTCAGAGAGGCACAGGAGAGGCTGAGAGCTCAGTATGAACACATCAACAGACGGAGACACAGGAATGATTGCACCATCCAGTAATTTACTCCTCTGAGTCATTTTATTATCTTGTAGTCGAATTATTTAATTACCTCACCCAGTGTTTCTCTGCTAATAAAGAAAAACATCAACCGTTTTCAGATTTTATTTATTTTTAGATTGTCTGCAGAACTTTCTGTTTGATCATTAAACCCTCCTGTGATTCTGAGAGGGTTAATATCTTCTATTATACTGTATGTTAGCAAAGCACTGCATTAAAAATAACAAAACATTTTTTCAGATAATTCTTTATGTTGTGAAATTTCAGTAAAAGAAAAATAAAAAGAATCTGGTAAATCCGACTTTGTTTCTGTGTTTTTATCGTAGCTTTAAAACTTCAAACCAAACAGAATCAAGATCACATTTCTTTAGCCTAATAGCATATCGAAGTCATTCGTGATCAAATATGTCTCAGACAAATATTCTGTTAGGCTAATATGTGTCATGTGTTTTATATTTAAATTACATCACACATGTTAAACTCAAGGTCTGTGGGCCAATTCGGGTCCTCGTTAACATTTTATGCGGCCCCAAAGTCATACTTTAACCCTTATGTTGTGTTCAAGTCAAATTTGATCGATTTAAAAGTCTTTTGATTTTGGTTGGTGTGCACAGATCTAGAAGATCTGGAAGCAGTTTAAAGAAAATTTTGTAAGTGATTGACTAAATGTTAAAGTATTGTATTTTTACATTTTCAGATCATTGCAGCCATAAGTTTAAAACAGAGAATGAGAGTTGGTGTGTGTTATCACATGCTTTTTCTGTCTGCATAAACAAAAGTTAGTTATGTCAGACAGAAAAGGTAACATCTTCAGGGGTGTAACCAGGATGACATATGTTAAACGGTTGAATGGTCATTATATGAGCAGAGGTTTGTTGTTAGTTCTTGTGTGCAGGTTCTGTTTCAGAGCAGCCTGGGACAGTCTGGACTCTGTTTATCTTCAGATAAGATGAAGGTCGTTTTACTCTAAGGCCTGCTGCTGGAGCTGATTAGAGACAAGAAGAAAGTTTTTTAGAAGAACTGGTTTTATGTCATATTATTCAGACTTCCATTTATTGATCACAAAATCCCTTCAAGTTTATGGGATGCAGAGTCTGGCTGGACAATGTTTTCAGCTCCAAAGATCACAGGTGATTCACTTTGACAGCTGTGATTCATGTCCAGGCTGTTGTTGTAAAGAGATAATATGGCAATGACCACATGCAGCCATTTCAAGCACTGTTTGAGACCATCTAAATATGGTGTAAAGATACAGGCAGCATGATGCAGAACAAGTTTGTTAATGTTTTAAGACATTCATCTAGAAATGTGAAAATATCAAGTGTAGTTTTGTGATAATTAATTAAAAACTTTATGGTCACTTTTGACTGGGAACACAACAGGTGTTACTTTACAAAAAATGTAAAAGATTTCAAAACAATAGTCCCTGATAACTTTGACCCAAAGTACAGTAACCATGTGTCATCTGATTATTTATACTCAAATTAATTCAAAGTTGTTTTAGAACTTGCTTTAACTAATCATCACTAAAAACATATAGAAGTTTAAACCCCTACAGTCACTCCTGAAACTCTTTAAAAACCTTTTGACATTTTAAAAATTTTTAAGGGTGTCAAGCTCAAGGTAAGAACCGGCGGAGGTCGTCTGACAAACTGATTTTCAAAGAATAAAAATTTTTAAAAAGCCTCCAGTAGTGTCTGGAAATGTCTGGAAAGGTTTAAAGTTAATTCAATTTAAATTCAATTCAGTTTATTTATTTAGCGCCAAGTCACAACATACATTGTCTCAGGGCACTGCACATGAAAGAAGAACAAAATTAAGAGGTTATAACTTGTAACTTAATTAAAATGTGACACAAGAAGTGACGATAATATGTATTAATACCGTTTTATGGTGAGTCCTTTCTGACCAATGTAGGGGTTTTGGGTATATTTTAAAATTGATCATTTATGAATTATTTAAATCAATAAATTATCTTACCTCGAGGCACCACTTCCCTTTTATTTTGTTATTATTACACAGGAAAGAGAAGAGAAAACTGTTAACTTTATTATCATTCAGTCTCTATTAATTTATTACCCAAACTAATAATGAGTTATTTTCTTAGAAAAATCAATAATACTTTATCAAGACACAAAAGTGACGTTAGCTTATGTTGGCACGTTCACCACGGGCCATTTATTTACAGATTAAATGTATTTACAGCTATGGCAGATAAATGTGAAATGATGACATGTTGAACCAGGTAAAAACAGAGTTTTGCAATCACAAGTGAATAAACAAACAAAAACAACAAACAAACAAACATAAGATAAACACTGAGAGGTGAGTTCGAGGCTTGCAGTGGAGGTGAGGTGAGTTTTGCTTTTAGCTGGTTTTTTAACTAAGGGTCTTAGTTAAATGGAAGAGAAAAATCATTTAGTTTATCAAATCTCATACAAAGATAAGAATCAAATTACGTCTGAGCACCTGTGTGTCACCAGGACAAATGTTCACTTTTACCCAGTCGTCGGCTGACCGAAGGATCTCAGGTGATGTTCCCCAAAGAACTGCTTCAGTGTGGTGGCCGGTCGGACACTCAGGGTGTCAGTTGCTGGTCCTTCAGTCAGAAAGGTGGGTGGTGAGCTGGTGAATAAAGTGGGAAGACTTTGTCTCTCTGTTGGATGCTTCAGAGCGAGGGTTGATCCAGTCTTCATGGAGGCAAAACTGACTAAGCGACGCATGAGTTAAAATTAGCTTATTTAACTTCTATAAAAATCAAACTCAGGTGTTGAGTCGATGTGAAACGGTGGCTGTACGTTAAACCAGTGGGAGATGCAGAAGGACCACCGTCCTGCCCAGTCCATGGGGGAAGGGCTGGCAGGCAGGGCCTCTGCTGAGCTTCTGAAAAGCTGTTTCTGGCTTCTGATGTATGTATTTTTATTTTATTTGCTGGATTGTGATAAAATGTATCATTGAGAAAATATAAATCAAATGTTGTTGGTACAGTAAGAAATAAGTGCTAAAAATTAGCCTATATGTGAACTTTTTCTTTATAATTCAGGTTATTTATGTTCTAAAAACGTTACACAATATATAGTTTAGAAAAGGTCATTTGTGTTTCTTTGAGAGTTATTAATTAACACACACACACACACACACACACACACACACACACACATACATACATACATACATACATGTTTTTTGGTTTGGACCAGGTTTAGAACTATGACTCGTTTGTGTTTCGTAGTTTGACCTCCATGTTCTGAATGTAAAACATAAAGAGACGTTTTGTTTTTATCTGATTAAAGCTCATATTCTGACAGAGGTTTAGGTGCAACATGGTTCTTTATTTCTGCTTCAGATCAGCACAGAACAACACATCAGAACCTTATTAATGACAATAAAAAGCTGTCAAAGCAATATTTTGATGGAAAACACTGATTAACAAAACAAAAACAAAAAAACAGACTTTAAAAGAGTTAATTGTATTTATGAAATCCACTGAAAAACAACAATTAATTTTTTTACTGAGGATTAATACCTTTAAGGCTTAATAAATTCATTTATTCAAGCATAAGAACATAAAATGTGAGACTAAATCATGTACAGGATGTAACTTTAATCACAGAATCTGCAGAAAAGTGAGTTTTTCTCCCGATGAGTCAGTTTGTTGTTTAAATGTTATGTTTTGATTAAAAACTCTCCAGAACGAGACAAACTATTTGAATTTTCCCATCAGTTTCGAAGCGATAGCCGTGCCGATCCCGTTAAATATAAAGTTTGCGATGTCTCCAAGCCAGCTGAGAGGACTAGTGGTCTCAGCTTCTTCTCGAGCCGCAGCAGCAAACTGCGCCTCCAGCTGCTCTCGTTGTTGTCTGATCTCTCTCTCGTGATTCTCCTTTAATTCATTCAACATTTTTGTCGTTTCTTTCTCTCTCTCCTCCCTCTCTCTCTCCCTTTCCTCCTGCAGCCTCTTCAGCTCGCTCCTCCTCTCTTCGTTCATCTCCTCCCTCTCCCTCTTCCTCTCCTCCTCTCTCTCCCTCCTCTCCCTCTCTCTGTCAGCCTGGATCATCTCTTTCATTTGCTGCATTTCTCTTTCGTATTTTTCCTTTATCCTTCCCTCCAGTTCTTCTCTCTCTCTGCGTATTTTCTCCTCTTTCTCCCTCAGGATTCGTTGTTTCTCCTCTTCGATTTTCCTCTCAGCCTCCTGGAACATCTCGTTGGTGTAGTGGCTTCCTCCGTTCTTCTGGACGATGTCTCTGATCTTCTGCAGGAGCTGGAGGACCTGAGGCTTCTTGTCCCTCAGCTTGTTGTTGAAGACGTGGTACTGACCGTTACATCTGTACACCAGCTCCTGCAGATCTGGACTATCAGACAGGAACCTTTCAATGGTGGTTCCTTCCAGGTTGTCTCCATGCGTAAAGAGGACCATGCTGTATCTGTCTGCGGCCTGTCCAAACACTTCCTGGATCTGTTTCACCGTCTGCTTCTCCTCCTCGGTGAACCTGGTCAGTGAGATGACCACTAGGAAGACGTGGGGTCCAGGAGAAGCGAAGGAGATGCACTGACTCAGATCTTTGGTTGTTTTCTTCTCGTCAAACCTGGTGTCGAAAAACCCAGGAGTGTCGATGACGGCGACTGTCTGTCCGTCTATTTCAGTCCGGCCTTTAGCACAGTCCACAGTCAGAGACCTGGGGCTGCATCTGGACTGGAAGTAGTCTCGACCCAGAATGGTGTTTCCGGTGGCGCTCTTTCCAATCCCGGTCTTCCCCACCATCACAATCCTCACCTCACTGTTGTTTGTCAGCATCATTCCTGTGGTAAATCACAGGTCAAAGTAAACGTGTATATGCATGAAGCTGATTACTCTTAGAGTCAATCAAATCCAAGATGGCCGCCACAGCCTGCCAACCCTTCAAAACACATTAATAACCATAACTCAGGTATTCATATTTTTACAGGAAGGTAGCTAAATTCCAAATTGTTCACTCATCAAATAATGGGACATGAACTGGTTAAATAAGTCATTTTCCTTTTTCTAAAAAGCAGTGTTGTATAAAGTACCTCAAAMTGATACTTGAGTAAAAGTACAAGTATCTTATCATAAAAATACTTTGGTAAAAGTTAGTCTTCTCTAAAAATATTACTTGAGTAAAAGTCTTAAAGTATRTGATATTTTTTGTACTTAAGTATCAAAAGTAAATTTCTGACACAAAATCTACTTAAAAATTAAAAGTAAAAGTACTGAGTAAAAGTGAGCAGTTAGATTTTCKWAAATGACATTTATTGGGAGGTGACTTCTCCAAAATATATTTTTTCTAACAGCGTGCAGCTGTGATGGGTTGTGTACAAGCTAATAGTGTGTCAGAATGGTATATATTTATACTTCTCATCCAAACACAGTTAAATTCACTCTATCCAGGAGACACAGTTTATCAGGATAGATTTTTTATGTAATAACAGCTTGGCATAATACAGGAGTAACAACTTTCTACTTCTTACCTTTTTAAAAAATGTAGTGAGTAGAAAGTACAGATAATTGTGTAAAAATGTAACAAGTAAAAGCAAAAAGTACGCTGAAAAATAATTACTCAAATAAATTATAGATAACCAAAATTTCTACTTAAGTACAGTAACAAAGTATTTGTACTTAGTTACTTTACAACTCTGCTAAAAACCAGTGACAGATGAATAAATAAAACCTGCAGCTACTCAAAAATATAAATTATAGAGTCCACATTATGTGACATCATGACAAAATCATATTGATGATTAGATACATAATAAATATGAGTATAAACATGAATTTAAACATGAATTCAGTGTAATTTATCAGTGATTATTGATAAACTCACCCCAGCTGTTGGCCATGGTGTTTTTGTTCATCGACGTGTTAAATCCAGCAGCACTGACGAAGCTGAGGATGAGGAAGAGCTGCAGGTTTTATAATCCTACAAACCACACCTTCACAGACTTCTTTTACTTTCTGTCAGAATGAAAGTAAAACTGAAAAAAACTGTTTCTGTGTTTTTCCCCTTCTTTGTGATGGGTAAAATAACAACACTGAAAAGATTATTAGCCATGATGTAATGATGGAAATTCAGTTTGTGTGGTTTTGCTGGTGTTCATTGTTAAACTCAACATGTGGTCAGCTCTGGGTTCAGTTCACACAAAGCTGCTCCCTCACAGGAAACAGAACCCTCATTTTAAAATCCCTGTTGCTGATTTTTCCTGAAACCTTCCAGTTCAACTTCTCCTTTAAAAAAATGAAAAAAAGTTTTTATTCAGTTGTAGATGATTGGATAAAATAAAAAGACAAAAAAAATAAAATCAGTAAAAAAGTGCACTTCCTCTTTTAACTGATTCATGTTTTAGAACAGTCAGGATCTTTTTGTTTTATACGGAAGAGGATTAGGGCCACTGAAAAATTAAAAAAGGAATTCTGACTTTTTTCTCAGAATTCTGACTTTTTTCTCAGAATTCTGACTTTAATCTCAGAATTCTGACTTTAATCTCAGAATTCTGACTTTTTTCTCAGAATTCTGACTTTTTTCTCAGAATTCTGACTTTTTTCTCAGAATTCTGACTTTAATCTCAGAATTCTGACTTTTTTCTCAGAATTCTGACTTTAATCTCAGAATTCTGACTTTTTTCTCAGAATTCTGACTTTAATCTCAGAATTCTGACTTTAATCTCAGAATTCTGACTTTTAAAGTCAGAAGTCACTTTCAGGCAGATGGGCAGCAGAGAGCAAGCAGCTTTAGAACCACCGGTGCTTGTGGTGCAGGACAGCAAACGTTTTGGACCAAGATGTCAGATTTAAGTGACTTTTTGAACAATCATGCAGCTTGACTGATGGAAGAACACCACATATGCTTAGAAACAATGACATTTATAAAGTTAAGGAAAATGTCAAAATATGTTTTCTGTAACTTCCAATTGTACTTTTGTGTTCAACAGTAAACAAAAAAACTGATACCTCAGTCTTCCTTAGATGTATAATGTAAACAAACAAAATATTTTCAT